AGGGTATGAAAAATAGATGTTGGCCGATTCTCAGACCTACTCAACATTTCATCAAAATCAGTGCAGCCGTTTCGGAGGAGTTCTACGTCTAACATCGCGACACGAGAACTTTATATACAAGATATATGCATACATTCTTTTTGAGTCTCTATTAAATATTTAATTTTAAAAAGCTCTAAATTGTTTTAGCTATACTTGTTTACTACATATAAACGATATATTATTGTATTATTGTTAGTTTCCAAATGTTTATTTAAGACGGCTCATAAAGCATGTCACACAAGTCTCCCGCGTCAGCCGCAGGCCGCAGGCGTGCCTTTAATATTATATAAGCATGTATCATTCCGCCTATTGCAGTCTTTTTCTCCGACACGATGTATTCTCCCAGGAACAACTAGTTTATGGTAAAAACGTGTTAAGTAGATCTGTTCTGGCTTAGTGAAACTTTCTTTATCGAAACCTTTTCTGTGTGGGACGAGTACAATGTTTTATATTGACACTACGAAACTACAAAATATATTGTAAAATACATACATGCATGTATAACAAGTTCTAACACAGGATTTGTATTAGCTATATTCAGCCTTAGAAATGTGTCCCATTGTTTAAACCGTTTTACAAACCGTTACTTTAAACATTAGTTACATCGACGGCGCCTATCATTAACTACTGATTAAAATGGCAGCGGCATCGATCACGGCACCATTTCCTATATTTCCAACAATATCTCAAGTCCCTATTGAACTGAGCTCGTTAAAATTAATGTTTGTTCAAAGATAAGCTGTTCCTAGCGGTACAATATCGCAAGCCCTCACACGTGAATTATGCATCTTTGCAAGTTTCACGACTTGATTAATGTCCTGTACGGAGGTGTAATCTATTTTTCTTGAATCAATCTTTCAAGTTAGCTAGTACATAAAAAATAATGCACTTCAGTCTCAAAGGAACTATTACCTCAATACGTTAGCCGAAAGACGTAATTGCGATACATAAAACGAGTCTGTTGGTAACAAGGTAACACGTTCGACTGTCCATTGTGTGCAGCACAAAGAGTTGGGTGAGCCAAACAAAAGATCATGGAGACGAGCAAGAGTTTTTGTCCTAATTACTTCTATACCAGCCCCGCATGTACCATGGAATGTCAATGATAAGCCCCAGTCGACTATGCCGTAATTTTCCTCTCGCATTTCATGTGAATACAGTGAAAATATTTCCTGCAATTCACGTCCTTTTGAACATTTTACATAAATTTATATTCATATGTACAAAGATATCTACATATTCATCTGTCATAAACGAAGTGCCAACTACAAAAGTCGTATCGATTTAATAATTTTCAAATATGTAACAATAGAATTAAAATGGCATACTAAACTATTAAATATTAAAAGTAAAAACATGTACACAAAATTTGTTTAATATTTGGCAAAAACATATTATCAATTTATCCATAAATATATCGATATTTTCAACTAAAAGCCAACATACTTCATCCAATCTGACCTAGGCAATACAGTTCATAAAAGTACCACCAAAAATAGGACAATAGGATTGGACGAGTCAACAGTGGAATTAATATTTAAGTAGTGAGTTGTTCACGAGTATGCATCAAGTTAAACGATACCGGTGTTTACGGAATTAAATTTGTTAAAATCGGTCAGGCCGTAGGATAATAAACATATGTATGTATATGCTATAACAATATCCTGAACGAGGCGATGAAAAAAGCCATTATGATATTGGAATTCCTCCCTATTATTACGATGTCAGCTTTTTTATTTAATTTATTAGTAACGGATGTGATGATACATAAATCAAGGCTGTGTAACGCAACTCTCAGCCGTATCGAATTAATTAAGATTTTCAATATCACTCCTACATAAAGGTTCTTATAGACCGAACGTACGGAGCATGAGAGAAGTTAGCTACCGTAGTTCAAACATGAGATTCTAACTTCCCTTGGATTCAATTTCATATTACATTATAACTAAAACAAAATTTGAATTTCAAGAAAGGGTTGAAAGTTGTGCCAATCAGATGTTATTCGTATTTTAACTTTAACAGATAGAGTTTGTCACTTAGTTTGGTGTCGTAGTAGAATAATATTGATATAATAATGGATAAATGGGTTAGTAACATTAAATTATTAAGGCGTTTCATGCGTGCTATAGAAAATTTTGTGTATAATTAGTCAAGAACGAAGACTGTCTGTATTTTATCTACCTGACAACTCCTATTAATAGCTGCTAGTCACGCATCCTTTTATTTTCTTAACTCGTACTAAAAGATATTACATTTTAATACCAAGGAAAATAAAATTGTAGACTCTTTATCTATATAAAAAATTTAACGAAAACGTTCCTGACATACAATAGCAAAAATTACATATAAATTTGCTTAAGAATATTTTAAAAAATAATAGGTCGAGAAAGTCGAGTATCATCTTCAAAAGATAAGAGTCAAAAATGTTGGACATAACAATATAAAACAAGTAACTTGTCTATCGAAGGCAGTATTATCCCGGGGGATAAAATATTTAAAGTGCTGTACCAAACATTTTAGCGAAATAACATTCTATACCAAGTCCAGAATATTTTACAAAATATATGTAATATGTAGAAGGTTTCGGTACACGGTTTCTACTGCACTAGAAGTTATGTTTGGTGTAAATTGTTTTGTCTTTGTATTCGGCTAAAACAAGGACGAGTACAATCCTTTTCTCTGAATAAAGGAGACTTCCAACGCCTTGTTTGGACTATAGACGATGTGTGTGGAAATTTTGACTATCATTAACTAGATAGGTATGATGTACACAAGCAACTAACAAACTTACGTTCATAATATCAATATTAATAACGAATGTCTTAACTCATTCTCACATCAGTTTTTTTTTATATTTTCTAAGAATCCGTACCTTACTCGATTGAATAAAAACATTGATACTAAAAATCAATTGTACTTCTGTCTATTTGGCGCAACCTCTTTAGTAACAATGTATTGAGGTAATATGTTAAAATTAGATAAAATCTCAAAATATTGCTACTAATTAAGTAATTCAATGTTACCTAAACAGTTTGTCAGAGGTAACTGGTCCTCTTAAAACCAATATTTTGACTTTAGCAAGGTAATCCAAAACAATAAAATGTATTATTAGTCAGAGCCAACTCAAAATAATTATTATCTAACACCAATCAAAAACCATTTATCGACCTAGAGTTATGTTTTTTAAACCACACAAACCGTAGCGGTTTATAAATGTCATAAAATTTACGACCAGCAACACCGACTATTACTCCCACACTGTTCAGACTAACTTTATTGTGTTAAAAACAAAAGTAGAAAAATTCGGAATTGAAATGTATTTTATCAAATGTAACGAACAATAAATCAAAAAGTAATAAATCTCAATAATAAAAGAGTATTTATTGTAAGAGAACATAGAATAGTTTGGTCATAATATTCCTGCTTCCCTACGTGGGTCGCGAGCCTCCACTGAAATAATATTATTATTATTTTTTATTTCAAATATATTTCAGTGTAACTACAGTTTAACATTCTTATTAAATAAGAAGTACATTTTATATTAAATATTTTGAAAGTTATCATTTAAAGTTAATTATTTTTTTATAATTATATAAAGATACAACCATTTATCAATCGTTTAAGTATTTTAACATTAATTATCAATTCCTATCTACAACGATGACATAATTTATTATAAAGAAATATTATTTCGCTGGCATTTTATAATCCATTTTCCTTCGCAAGGAGAATGAACAGTCAATATGTAGTGACAAGATCTATGTTCATTTTATTTTAAATGTGTAATAAAGGGTCCTACAATATTATTTACAATAAAAATAAAATTTATTATATGAATAGAGATTTAAGAATATACGTATACACGTGTGTGAGTGTGTGTGTGTACATACATATATACATAACTTTGTTACGTACATCAACACATAATATTAAAAGGCCTATACATCAGTAGTTAAATCAATATAACAGTGTCAGCCGGAATCGACCCGGACGCTTCCTGTCCGAATATTACACAGGATCATTTAATCCTATTTACATAACAAACATAATCTGAAATCATTCCTATCATTTATTAACCAGTACTTCATATTACTGTTTACAATTCTGATAATCATAAGTTGAAGTACAATTAACCCTCACATTCATTTGTGAGATAACGAAATCTATTAGATACCTATATATTTGACGCGATGAAGATCCAATGAATTAAAGGCAATATATGTAAGAATCCTTAAAGGTAGCTAGCTCTAATTCCAACAAACGTAATTTTCGGCAAAAAAAAACTATATTTCGTACAAATAAGTAAACCAAATGACGATAAATTATTAGTAGGTCAGAAATAAAAGGTAGATTCTCTTCTATTCTTTTCTCTTTGTTATAAATTGCCTATTAAGATAAATATTTTAGAGCGCAGATAACAATTTATAGTTTAACTAACATTGAACTTGTTTACATAAACGTAATTGATAACTTGATAACAGTAATGACGGCCAGAGATTAAAAATAGCTCAGTTATCTTTTGATTACAAAATAATCCTGCTGGCAAATTTTCTTTTTTCTTTTCTGTTATTTTCTTATATTTGTTCATATATTCGTAGCTATATACTTTCATTATAGTATAAAAATAAATGTATATCAATTCTTTTTCTCCATTAATGGGTCATCAAATAAAATTTCTATGATCAAAAATATTTAAAAAATGGCAAAATAGCATCAAAAATCGCGTCCCATTTTTTTTTTAAACAGTAAAACTGTTATTGCTAAAGTTTTCGTAAAATTTTCTTCGTTTTATTAGGTAAGTAAGGCACATTATAAAATAGCAATCTGTTATGCGTCACACGTATTATTATCTCGTGAGTTGGCGCGGTGTATTCTGTCGTTTGCGTGATAAGAGCTCGGGATGCGATGTCCTCTGATAACGATAAACTATGTTTGCTGCTAGTATTAGTTTAGCCGCTATGGCTAACGTGGCTGTCGTCGTGGGCGCGTCTAGCAATTTAGGCTACCAAGTGCTCAAGCAGTTGGGAAGTGCGTATAAAGGAAAAATATATTTCACAACCGAAGATGAATCTACCGGCTACAGTATACACGAGAACCTCAAAGAATATTCGCATTTAGAATATTTTAGAGTGGATTTAACATATACTAAGAGCATTATCAACTTCAGACATCACATACAGGATCTCGATGAGAGGATAGATCTATTGATAAACGTCACTGATTACGTACCAGAGAAACAATTGTCGTCCGTCGATAAAGTCAGAAGAATATTAGCTGTAAATTTCTACGGATATATTAACTTTGGAAAACTGGTCTATCCATTGCTGACGAGAGATGCGAGGGTTGTCAATGTGTCCGGACCCGCGGGTCTGTTAGCAACCATTGAGAATGAAGCAATCAGAAAGAGAATAAGTGATCCTAAACTAACAGAAGACGAGCTGGTTGCTGTGTTACAGGATTTTGAAGAAGCGGTCAAGAGAGGCATACAGAAGACTGAAGGTTGGGGTCACAGCATGCATGCGGTTAGCAAAGTTGCTTTGGCGGCTGTGACATTTCTTCAGCACAGAGAATGGTCAGATAAGGGAGTGACTATAAATTGTGTGAATCCAGGAAACGTTTCAAGTCGAGAACATAGAAAATCTACTAAAGCATTTGAAGAAGGGGCTAAGACTATTTTATATCTGGCATTAGAAGCGCCATTGACTGTAAAGGGTAATTTTGTGTGGAGTAACTACAATGTTATTGAATGGAACAGTGATCCTTTTCTAGAAGTAACTACTGTTTAACCAAAATACAGAATTTATTGACTCAATAAGATGTATAGAAAAGTATATTGGGAACATTGTTTAATTTATCAAAACTGGAACTGACTACTAAGTATTCATGTCAGATTTAAGATAAGAAATGTAAATGTGGCATACATTATTATTAGAGTTATATTATAATGTGAGAAAATATATCTACTTATATTTGTATTTATTAAATTTGTTATCTTAGAAATGACTATTTAATTAAGTGTTGCAAAAATTATATAAAACGTGAAACGGAGTTTTAAAGAAGTGAATATTTGCAGAAAGTATTAAAATGAAATTAATTAAAGATTTATTACAAAAAATTTGCAACTATGCTAAAGATATACAAACGGTAATTAGAGCAGGATTATTTCTGATAACTATCAAAAATAATTCAGAAGTATATCTTACGTACATGCTTATGTGATAAGGAATTTTTGGTATGACGATCTATCTTATCTTTATTGGGCGGCGTCTGAATTATTTGTGTCATGTCTTTGCACTGCTCCTGATTTCGATTACTAATACTACACGATACACAATTATTATACACGAGTAAGTCAGTACATAAAACAATAAAAGTAATTTAAATCACAAGTTGATAACATTTTTTATATGTTTTCATATTTAATACATATTAACTCTCTTTAGTGCGACATAAATGTAATCGTATATAAAATAAAAATCAATATATATATGTAGTATGAATTGAATTGTTTCAATCATCAAAGAGTTAAAGGGGTCGTAAATTTTTTACAGCCTCCTTCACACTGTCGAGTCGAGGCCAAGATCACGCAAACAATAAAAAAAGAATACAACTGAGAAATGTTTTTTGTCATAACTTATGTTTACTTGTAATTAGTCTAACTGGCTGTAGGAGTGAAGAGTTGGAGCAAATAAATATTAAAACAAGGGATGACACGATTTAGAAAATCTTCTAGTATTGTATTTAGAGACATGCTTTATAATGTATTAAAGAATAAGTTAAAGTTTATTTATCCGTTTCTCTATATAAAATTAATGAATACATTGTATGTTTTTATTACCATAAAAAATCTCTTTTCTCAGAGACATATGTTTATATTTTAAAAGTACTCAAGAGTTAATCAAAGCGTAACTTATCTAAATGAATCGTTCCAACCATAGCAGAGTCTATCGGCTGAAAATGCGACTCTTATAAAACTTTTGAACTTCGATTAATTAAGTTCTTAACTGGAAAAAGGAGAAAAGCCACTCTTCCGCGACTTTCCAATATTGTTGAAATTTTATTAATTCTACAATAAGGACTAAATGTAAATAGATTTATATGCTATTAACTGTGGATTTATATTCACTTGAATAAATCTATGTTATAATTTTATTACAACATAGGTATTTGTGTTTGACGTTGCTGTTTGTGTGTCTGTCTGTCTCATACGGAACTTCAAAACTCGATACGGGTTTTTAATTTAAAGACTGAGACTAGCTTGCGATAATTTTAGATACATGTAGTTAATTAATCAGGCAGTGGAAGAGTATCAGCTCTTTACAAAATTAAGTAAGGTATCATAATCCAGCGACTACGTGATACCTTACGTGTGCCAGTATAAAAACTATTCAACTGAAAATAAATAACAACTACAGCTTTATATATATGTAGGAATAAAAGATAAAAACGGATAGATGGATGGGCCATAATTCAAGGCATGAAGTTCTTTTTAACTGAATAATAGTTGAAATCGGATATAATTAGTCCAAGGACCAAATTACAACACCAGAACAATAATTAATTCGTTTTCACAAATTAATTATCCAAAGAGTCAAGGTTAACAGGCTAAGTACAACTAGTGCACCGCGCCACGTCAGAGCCAAGACTCCTGTGGAATAATCGCGCACGTCTTTTAAACAGCTAGTAGTGGGGAGAGTGGGGCATCGAATCACGCGCTCGGTGGCGTGATCGGTGCACGTGTTGGTTATAGTTATGTTTAGTTGGCGCGCTAGTGCCGACATATACATATATTTAATTGTGCTACATTTCCATGATATCATTCTACTCTCATCACACTTCAAAGTATCTAATATTGTAGAGAAAACTTCTATAAAAGTATACGTATCCTTTTTACAATTTAAATAGTACCAAATAAGTGTTTTTTGTTTGGTGGCGGGGGGGAGGGGTTTTAATATTTTGCTTCTACTATTACTGTATAGAAGTCGATAGCGGGCCGGGATCAAAGTGGTTCATTATAAGTTTTACGCCTTCGTTACAAACAAAGTTGATGTCAATAGCTCTATACTTATCGGTATTTTCTGAGCTGTGCCATATTTCTTGACAACTTAGGATTCAAGGCTTCTAAAACTTAGCGTTCATTATTTTTCATTTCGTTCTATTCAAACTCACAATACAAAACTCAAAGGAAAACAAAAGAAGTGAAATGTAGTCATAGGAAAACGTTTTCCTCGATCCCTCAACAAATCAGCCATTTATCAGAGCAAGAGAAACCGGATTGAACTGCAGACCCCTAATTAGCTTTACAAATTTCGTGGCAATTCTTTAGAGCTACGGAACCCAACTACTTCGAAGTAATTTTTCTTTTTAATGCACTAAGAGATTTCCTATTTCATTAAATTGGATATACTAGAATGACTTCTCGACCACAGAAGCTGTATGGCTAAAACTTCATAGATTTTCTTAATGATAGTAAATTGATAAATTCTTTTCAAGTCGCTTCTCCTGCACTTATTTTTTACTACACACCGCTATGAATTTTAATATAAAACCAATATTTACCTTCTAACTTCCACCAGCACGAGCCTTGACTTTAAATTTGCTAAGAACAACATGTTGCTCCCGTATGTCAGAAACATGGAGATCGCTAGTGCCATACATATCATATTATATTGGACGAAAACATTGTGAAATCACCAAAATATACACGACAAAATTAAAACCACTCTATATTTAAAACAGGTTGTTCAACCCACAACATAATATGCTAATAAACATTTTGGACGGGATCAGTTTTATTTAATCTAAATTTATCAAAATATTCAACAAGTTATATGAAGCATTGTCAGCAGCTTTTGTAATCGAGTTAAAAATTGAAAGCAACTAGTGGCGTTACCAATATAATTTCATTTTGGATGTGTGAAACCACTCGAATGCTGATCACGTTCTACTGAGATACTTTTCATAGCTCCTATGATTAAAAATACAGTCCGGGTATAATTAAAGTTCTTATTCTGATTGAAACTATTTCTTATCTTTATACTAAATCCCGATGTTTCTGTTAAATTCGCATGTTTTTTTGTAATTACAACATTCAGACGGGAATCCAATATAAGTCATATCTTGGAGCTCGTCAACTGAAAACGAAAAATGTAACACACCGCCCTTCGCTCATACAGAATTCATTAGACAACCCGATATGAGGCTTTGTTTGTTGCGTGATGCATCCAACTTGACGAATGAAACTGCTCAAACATGTTTACTATTTATATTTATTATTCGGATTTATTTCCATCAGGATTTTTGTGAAAATCTCTCATAACCAGAAACTTATACAGCTTTATATTAAATTTTGTTTACAATAACATTTCCATTTTTTATTTTAAAGAAATATTTATTTGATATTGGGATTATAGAAAGGTTTGCGTTATATTTGAGGAATAAATCTCAACGACTTTGTTGAATATCAAATAAGAAAAAATAAATATTATTCAATAAGTACTCTTGAAATTATGTAAAGTATGTTAAAAATAATATTAAAATACCTCATACAAACTATATACAAAGATAATTAGCAGTGAACTCTCACGGATTAGATAATACAAGCCTAACACATAACAAAGGTGATCGATGGGATATTTACAAAGGTCAGTCCTATTACAATATAAAATAGGACTTGTATAACAGACACAAACTCCAAATAGAAAAACTTAGATCGTTAGTGCGGCCACTTATAGTTCCCACACTTGGTCATCAGGGCGCGGGATTGTAGGCGCTATATCATCACAATAAGCGTCATTGTTATGTCTCTTGGAGGACAATTTATTGGGGTCCTCGTACATCATCTTCGTTTTATCGAAGAGTTCTTTATGTGGTTATATAGAAATGGCGAAAGAACATCGCGATCCGAGGTGGACCATGGTGTATCACTGTAAAATATTGCCTGTTTAGGAGATACAAAAAAAAATGTAAGGAATATCGTTCGGCTATTCCGTTCTGAGTGACCCTCTCAGCAATATATTTGTAGCGTTGCCATATTTCCATACGGGTCCTCGGATAGATAGTTTACGGTCACGAAGTATGTCGCTCCATAATATTACGATTTTATATATATAACGGTAGGCAAAGATTTGATTTCATATCGTTTTGGTGAGTCAGTTTTAGTGTATACGTAACATGTCGATTCACTGATCGTTATTGGTAGCAAACAAGTTATTCTGAATCAGCAAAGGTTGAATGATCGCACGGTTATTTTTGATTTAATAACGATAATGAACCACTATATGGAACAGGAGAATCGCTAAAGAGGTATGAAAAGAGAAATGGATGATTAATAATGTAACATCGAGCCCCGAAAACAGATTAAAATAAGTACGGAACTAGAACCTGTAGTAAAAGTTTGGCGACGTTAATTTAACCACCGATAGTTCTAATACCTTAATGAATAGTCGGCTGTACGAAGGTTTTCCAGGATTTATTAATATAAAGGGTTTAAACGGATCAGAAGTTAGAAAAGAAATGGTTACTTAAGTAACTAAATTAGTGAAAAAAAAAATACGTCAACATGCTTGAAATTCTTTCATTTTTATAACTATTAATAACAATTTTCGTGATACTGGTAGAATGAATGCTATTTTTTTACCTTAAAATTCAAATAGCAACTTAGTACGATACCCGACGTCTCTTAGAATAGTATTTTCTCGAGACATAAACTGTTTTAATCAGCGCCATTACGATATACTAAATTTCAAATGCAACTTTGTACGAGATTCACAAATTCAAAAGAGATATCTTAGCGATTCACAAGAAGCATTACCCTCGCATGAATCAGGAGGTAACGGGTTACAAAAAACATATAAAACGTCGGGCGAGTATTGAGTTGAATTCCATTAGTATCGG